TTTTTTTTTTTTTTTTGCTTTAATCCATGGCTAGTTCTGGAAAAGCTGGGTTGGTAGGACCTATAATGAACATGGGGCTGTGGCCTGGGGTTCCTGTGGAAGGCCCAGGCACCCAGCCTCATGGCAGAGTGGGGCTATCATTGCCAGTACAAAGCCAGCTGCAGCCGCCACTTCATCTCCGAGGATGCACAGGAGCGGCAGGACAAGGAGGTATTTCAGCAGAACATGAAGCGGCGGCTGGAGTCCTTTAAATCCACCAAGCACAACATTTGTTTCACCAAGAGCAAGCCACGATCCCACAAGGCTGGCCGCAAGAAGGCATGTCCTTTTTTTGGGACTTCTGTTTGGGACTGGAGGATGACAACATGCAATTTTGAGCCCCCATGTGTTAGATTCCAGCTAGGGAAACCCCTAGTTGAATCATCTTTATAGATTTGATGACTGCATCAGTGAGTTTCCTCTTAGATCCTTCTGGGTCCAAGAAGAGTACGGGGAGGCCTCCCAAGGTCACTTGGTACAGGAGATAAAACAGCAGGAGAAAGATTCACTGGAGACAACTCTAGGAGCTCCCCTGTTAACGCACCCCCATCCCAGGATTATGCATCTGGAGCACTTGCTAGGGTGGGGTTCCTGGCTGGCTGGCAAAGAGATGGTGGGATGGTAGAGCTCCTGGGACTGAAAGAAATTCTTCCCCAATGGGTTAGGAAAAATTTTCCTCCTGTAGACCCTACCAGACAACAGGGATGGGTATAAAGCCAAGTCCTGAAGCTCAGGTTTTCTTTCTTGGTCCTCAGAAGGATGGTGTGGCCAATGCTGAGGCTATAAATGGGAAACCTCCTCGAGACCTGGGCTTTCAAGACACAGGCAAGCAGGGAGTGGGGGTGGACTTGAGGATGGGAGGGAGGAGGGAAAGAGCAGGCCTGAATTCTGGAGGACCTCTGAGTACATCAGTACTGAGCTGGCCTCTCCTGTCAGGGACTAAATAAGCCATCTTCGCTTTCAACATTGGAATGTTCAAAGCATTTACTATCCAGTGTGTGATAGGAGGCACCTGACTGCTAACTATGGCTTATGTGTCCTGAGAACTTGGAAAAGGTCATAGAGAAAAGGAGGCTGGCCTGGGTCTTTAAGGATTGGGGGACTCTGAAGCCTGGTATCGCATCTGCAAAACCAGTTACTGATGGCCATTGTGGCACACACCTGTAATCCCAGCACTCTGGGAAGCTGTGGCAAGAGGATTGCAAGTTCAAACCCAGCCTGATCAACTTAGTGACTTAGCAAGACCCTGACTCAAAAAATTAAAAGAGCTGGGTATGTAGCTCAGTACAAATCCCTTGGGTTCAATTCCCAGTACCACAAAACAAAACAGTAAAACAGCTCCCTGGGAGCTGAGTGTTAATGGGCCTTGCAGTCCTCCAGGTTCTTGTGTTGTTAAGTCAATGGTGGGATCTTGGGCTGGCAAGAGAATGGGACCCAGAAAGTGTAACCATCATGGCATTCCCTGAAGACTTAGCTCTTTCTGGTTGCCTCCTTAGCCTCTGCAGTCTCCCTTCCCTTCTCAAACCCCCTACTTCCTAAGCCTCTACCCAAAATAGCCAGAGGAGAAAGCAGACATCTCTGCTAACATGGGCTCTGCCTGTGGGGAACAAGAGCTGGCTTGGGGTTGTGTGGTACCAACAGGCAGCTGCTGGTCTGACCACCCCAACCCAGCTCTTGTCCTTGTCCAGCTGCTGTGATACTAACTGTGGAGTCTGAGGAGGAGGAGGAGGACAGCGAGAGTTCAGAGACAGAGAAGGAAGACGACGAGGGGATCATCTTTGTGGCTCGGGCCACCAGTGAGGTTCTCCAAGAGGGCAAAGTCTCAGGTAATGGCTTTCTCACTGCCTCCCTCCCCTCTGGAGCAAGGTTTTCTCCCTCTGCTCTCATGGCCTCTGCTCCAGACAACTCCCTTTTCCTAGTTACTAGTTTAATCACCACCCAGCATTTCCTGAGCATCTCCTTTCTATCAGAATCCTGATAAATGATCTGGTTCAACCCTCACAACCACCAAGGTGGGGAAACAGCTGACAGAGCCTAAGTGACCTGTGATTTGTCTAGCGTCACATGGCAGAACCAGAATTTGAACCTGACCCATCTGACTCCAAAGCCCACAGCCTTTTACTGATATGCGGCCCCCATTCAAACCATAGGAACATGAAGTGCTAAGCAAAACCTAATGGCAGACTCTGCTATGACCCTTGCTCATCACACCTGCCCTCAGGTAGATCCCCCTTATGAGAGTGATGCCTGACCTGGGGATGAAATGCATACATTTCTACAAGTGGAGACCTAATTCACTCATAATGCTAGTCATCACCGGAAGTTAGCTCAACACCACCTTCAAGTGACCTTTTGGAAAGGCTTATAACATGGGCCAGGGATTTAGCTCAGTGGCACCGTATCTGCCTCACAAATACAAGGTCCTGAGTTTGATCCCTGGTACTAGGAAAGAAAAAAGGCAGAAAATTTAAAAATACATAATGATAGAACAGTGAAATATTACTCTATTGTCAGCTTCAATAATTACCTTCTCATAGCTAATCATTTCAGCTATTCCTTCATTTATGACCACTGGATCCTTCTTTTTTTTTTTTTTTAAATAGTGCCTTAAGTTGCCCAGGCTGGGTCCAACTCACTATGTAGCCCAAGCTGGCCTCAAACTTGCAGTGATCCTCCTGCCTCAGCTTCCAAGTGCTGGGATTCAGGTGCGTACCATCTTGCCCAGCTTCCACTGGGTTCTTGGGAAGAAATATTTCACCGGGCATGATGGTGCATACCTTCTGTAATCCTAGCACTTGGGAAGCTGAGGCAGGAGGATCACATTTTCGAGATCAGCCAGGGCAATTTAGTAAGACTTTGTCTTAAGACAAACATATTTTAGAAAGGGCTGGGGTGAAGCTCAGTGGTTGAGTCCCGTCCCTTTGGAGTCAATTCCCAGGACACCCCACCAAAAAACCCCTCAAATATCATACTGTATGTCTTTATCAATAAATACTGTAGAATAAAAGACAAAGATTCTCTAAAAAAAATATAACCACAATATCATTACCATATATTAAATCTCTGTCAAGTATCTAGTCAGTGTTCAGATCTTTTTTTTTTTTTTTTTTGCAACAAGAAATTGAACCAAGTACCTTTCCATGGGCCCTGCCCCTTTTTAAATTTTTTTTATTTTGAGATGATTTTACTAAGTGGATGAGTTGCCTGAGCTAGCTTTGAATTTGTGATTCTCCTGCCTCAGCCTCATAAGTGCTGGGATTACAGGAGTGCAAAACAGGGCCAGCTAAACTTGGGTGTTTTGTTTGTTTTTTGGTTGGTGATGATTATTGTTTTGGTTTTGAGACAAGGCCTCACTATGTACACCATGGTGGTCTCAGACTTCTCACCTTCCTGCTTCACATGAATGCCTGCTGGAGTCACAGGCATGGCCCTGACACCCTACCTTTTTTTCTTTTTTTTTTTTGAGGTGAGGGCTTGCTTCATCATTCAGATTACACCCAAGCTCCTGGGATCAACAGGTCCTCCTGCCTCAGCTCCCAAAATAGCTGAGCCTGAACCCTCAGGTCACTACACCCACATTCAGTGGTTTGGAACAGAATCAAAATTTGGATCTCAACAAAGACTCATTTACGAGGATCATTTCTATTCAATATCAAAACCTGATTTAAAAAAATTTTAGACAGGGACTTCCCATGTAGTTCAGGCTGATTTTGAATTTACTATGTAGTCCTGGCTGGCCTTGCCCTTGTAGTGATTCTCCTGCCTGAGGCTCCCATGTGCTGATTTTGTAGATAGCTAAGTTAATTAGAAAATATTAGAAGACAGGGTGGGCCCTCAGCACCAAAGACAATTGTGTGAAAGGGGCAGTGATAGTCACATACTTCCTCTAGGGATGAACAGCAGTTACTGATTTTCTAAATAGTTAAATAGGTATCAATCACCTTCGGTGGGGACCCTAACGTCCCCGGCCCATTCCTTCTTGCAAAATCCTTGTTCCTGCCACTGGGTGTGTGGCACATGCCTGTAATCCCAGCACTCGGAAGGCTGAGGCAGGAGGATCCAGGTCAGCCTCAACTACATAGTGAGACCCTGTCTCAAAAAAAAAAAAAGAAAAGTCCTTGTTCCCTCCATGTATGTTTGCTAAGTGACTTGCTTCTTCGCTGAGTATTTTTTTAACAGCAGTTTTATTCAAATAAATACAGATATGACTCACATATTACATTTGGATGATGTAAGAACCCTAAGGGGCATCTGTGAAAAGATTTTGTCCCCAAGTGGACATTTGGCAATGTCTGGAGACATTTTGGCTGTCATAACTAGGGAGGGTACACCTGCATTGAATGGGCAGAGGCCAAGGAGACTACTGAACATCCAACAATGCACATGGAAGATTACAAGAAAGAAGTAGCTGTCTCAAAATGCTAATAGTGTCAAGTTTAGAAAACCTTGATCTATCTCTCCTTCAGTTCCTTGTTATATATTTGTTGAAGAAACTAGGTTGTCCTGCAGTCTTTCCCTGTCTGTATTTTGCTGATACAATCTCTATAAGTGTCATTTAATATATCTTTTTGTTCCTTACATTTCCTTAAGTCTAGATCAGATTTCAGGGGTGTTTTTGGTATTTGTACTGGGGATTGAATTCAGGGCCTTTGCACTGAGCTACATCTGAATTTTTTTTTTTTTCTTGAGATAGGGTCTTACTAAGTCATTAGTTGCTCAGGCTGGCTCAAACTTGTGACCCTCCTGCCTCAGAGTACTGTGATTATAGATTTGCACCACCACATCTAGCATTCAGTTTTGACTTTTTGGTAGAATGCCTTATAAGTGATGATAGTGTATTTCCTATTGGCCACATCAGGAAAAACATACCATCTGGTTGTCTCTCTTTTCATGAGGCTAATGTTGATCAACTAGGTTCACATGTTTCCTTGATCCATTACAAGTTTCCATTAACTTTTCCTTAGTTAATCTTGATGATCATTGCCAGAGCCAAGATTTCATTAAGAGCTGGCTGTGGTGGCGCATGCCTGTAATCCCAGCACTTGGGAGGCTGAGGCAGGAGGACTGCTTCGAGTTTGATGCCAGCCTGGGTACACAGTGAGTTCAAGGCCAGCCTGAACTACAGAGTGAGACCCTGTCTCAAAAAAGAAGAAAACAAAGATTTCATAAAGGATTGCAAAATGGCAATATTCTATACCTATTTTTTCATGAGCATTTATTAACAGTAATTCTATAAAAAAACCTCCCCTCATCAATTATTTGGTTACTCTGAGGTATGGTCTATATAGGAAAAAATGGGTAAGTGCTTGATTCTTCCCTTTTAGTCGTCAGAGTTAGACTGACAGTTTTAGTTTTGGTATTATTAAATATTAACATTGCAGGCCTTTTAAGAGATATAGTTTCAGTTTTAATCATGCATAAATACATTTCATAAGGCACCCAACCATGGGGGCCCACGGACAGAGCTGAGTGGTAGATTGCTTGCCTAGGCATGCGTGAAGTCCAGATTCCATCCGCAGGACCACAACAATACCCAAAGAGGCTTAACTGGACTCTTCTGGATTTTATCAATAAACAGGTACATGCTGAGCACTTACATATACAAAGAGCTGTGCTTGACTTTGGAGGGCTATTTGCCTTTTAGAGCTTCAGGCTTCCTATAATTCAGCTACATGCTGTTCTGTTTTAAGCTCCCAAACTTTATCAGCATCCTATTTGTGGCACAGCTTCAGCCTGTTGTCAGGTTTGTAAGAGCTCACACTCCTGGGCTGTGTTCCTTCAGAAGACTGCGGTGGGTGCTCAGGCAGTATGCCCAGCAGCAGGGCATTGGCCTGGAGCCCCAAAGTCATCCTTTCCCTCTTTGCCTCTGTCTTACCTGCACTGCCTGACTGGGATGAGGCCTGTTTCTGAGACTGGTGCTTCAGGTCTGGACAGGGTGAGAGAGTCAAGACTTATCTCCTAGGCTTTGTGTCTGGTCCTGTGGTAGGTGTTGGAGACATGGAGAGTAAAACCAGCTGTGGTGTTTCCTCTCAGCAAGACATTCCAACTGATGTAATATGGCAACTGTGGAATCAATTTTCTTATGAGAATGTGCACGCCACACACACACACACACACACACACACATCAAACTCAGAACCTTGCACTTACTGTGCCAGGCAGGCGTGACGCCACTGAGCTAAATCCCTGGCCCTATGAAAATATGCTTTATACTTAAGGACAGTACATTGACAACGTGTTCATGTGTACTCTTTATCCCTAGGAAGCCTTGAGCTGTGCCCGAGTCCACGGGTAATTCCTCCCTCACCAACTTGTGCAGAGAAGGAGCTACCTTGGAAGAGTGGGCAGGGGGACCTGGCAGTGTACGTGTCTTCAGAAACCACCAAGATTGTGCCTGTGGACATGCAGATGGGCTGGAATCAAAGCATCTCATCCCTGGAGAGCCTAGCATCCCCTCCCTGTACCCAACCCACCACTCTGACCCACCTGCCTCCCAGACACCTGGTTGCTGAAGAGCCTCAGACCCTTCTTGACCTGTCTTCTGACCCCCGCCCCAGCTTTGCCTTTCCCCCAAGCCTGGCCAAGGCTGGCCGCTCTCGTAGTGAGAGTAGTGCTGACATCCCCCAGCAGCAGGAGCTGCAGCCCCTCATGGGCCACAAGGACAACACCCATCTTAGCCCAGGCACTGCTACCTCCCACTGGTGTATCAACTTCAACAGAGGGGGAAGGCTGTAGCCCAAGTCTTTGGGAAGGAACGGGAGCCTCTGGAAAGTATTCCCTGGGCAATAGGCATAGTGATTTCTTTAGCTTGACATAGGACTAGAGTGGCTTGGACTGAAGTACCAACTAAGCTTCCTTGGGGCTGGTCAAAGGGGTCTCCTGGGCTGGTTCTCACAGGGACCCTTCTTATAACTTCCCTGCTCCTAACCCTTTTAACCTTCTATTTCAGTAATGGCTGAGGATCCAATCAAGAGTTCTCAGGGCTATGCCAAGATTTGGGTAGCTGATGTCCCTTCCCCAGGGGATTTTTCTGGGGTCACCATAGACAGCTGTTCCTACCTCCACACAAGAATGTCATTCCTCAGTGGATATTGACCTTCTCTGCTGTCTATCCCCTCTCCAGCACCAGGTCAAGGATGATGCTCTGGCAGTGAAGCTCAGTAGGGGGCTGGTCCTCACAGGGGCTGCAATGGGAGATGGAGCAGGCCTCAACCTGTTGGGTCAGCTACCCACAGTCAATTTTTAGGGTAGTAGGAATCTCTGCCTCCATTTCTTGTTTTAGCCCCTTTCCTTTGCTGCCAGGTATTAGGACATTGGTTCTTCCTTTTCCAGGACCAGAGCCAGACTTCAGTTCAGGGATGTGTCTTAGCCAGGGTCCTTCTGGGGATCTGCTGCTCTGGGTCTAAGTCTGGACCTTTCTGATCCTTGGATCTGGGTTTAAGATGGGATGCAGTAGTCTAGGTTCCCATATCACCACCTCAACATTCCCCAAACAGGGAAAAGAATGCAGGAATCCTAGGGCCAATGCTCCATTACTCTGGGGGCTGGGATACCTAGCTGCAGTGTGTGAATGTGTGAGTGGCAGGTGGCTTTCCTGGGGTTAGCCCTTGTGTTGTGTTTTGTACTTTGAACCTAAGATACATTAAATATCTCTCAGATGGATAGAGGTGTTTTGTCCATGTGTCCGAGAGTTCTAGGGATATGGGGAATGGGATCTACCTGCCCCAGGGCTTCTGGGGATAGAGAATAGAGGGAAGACCCTACACAGAGTTGTCTCTGGTCCTCCTCACACCTCCTCCCACACTTTTCTGACACTGTCTGCTTTGCAGCAGGCCTGAAATGGCAGTCTAGGGGATTGAAGTGGCACCAAATAGATTGGAGTTACAGAACAGAAGCTGCAAAACAGAAAAGGCTAGTGAGGAGAGAGACCCCAGTGGTCAGGTGCCAAAGATGAAGCCATCACACCTGGCGCAGCAAAAGCTTTCCTGGAAAACTTGGAGGTGGGTGTGGGATAAATGAACAGAAGTATCCTGTACCTGGCAGGTAGGAAGGCAATCTCAAGGGAGTTGATTACCCTGTTTATGATATATATCAACATGTAAGGTCCAGAAATCCCTAGATAAAAGCAATCCCCAGTAATTCCCACTGTCTGAAGGACCCTTTTAAAAGGCATCTTTATTGAGGTAAATAAAATGCATATACCATAAAAATTCACCCATTTAAAATGTACACTACAGCTGGGCGTGGTGGCACATGCCTGTAATCCCAGCACTCAGGAGGCTGAGGCAGGAGGATTGCCATAGTTTGAGGTCAGCCTGGGCTACAGTGAGTTAAACAACAGCCAGAGCTAATAGCAAGACCTTGTCTCAAAAAACTAAAAAAAACTAAAAACTAACTAACTAAATAAAATGTACCCTGCAAGCTGGGTGTGGTGGCTCAGAGCTACAATTCTAGCACACTGGAGGCTGAGGCAGGAAGACTGCTGTGAGTTCAAGGCCAGCCTGGGCTACATAATTCAAGGCCAGCTTGAACTACATAGTGAGACCTATTTCAAAACAACAAAAATAATATACAGCTCAGTGATTTTTAAAATATGTTCACTGGTGTGAAATCCTTACCACAGTCTACAGAACATTTTCATCATTCCCCCCAAAAAAACCTGTACCCCAAAGCAGTCAACCCCCTGCCCTTACCAGTCCTAGGAAATCACCCGTCAGTCCATTTTCTGTGTCTGGATCAGAAAGACTCTTGATATTTCGAAGGTTACAGAGTTGGTCAACTAACATTTACTTTTTCTATGCTATGCATGGGGAAAATACAAACAGAATGAACAGTGACTTTGCTTTCAAACTGTTTAGAGATAGCAGGTCTGGTAGTTAAAAGGCCTAGTAGGTAACTAGACTTGGCAGTTAACTAACAGTTGACAGTTTGGAATCAGTCCCATCTGTTACCAGCTATGTCATCTTGGACATGTTACATCTCTTTGAGCGCTGGTTTCCTAATCTATTTCCTTCATAAGGTTGCTGCCAGGGTGAAATGATAGAAAAGATGGGAAACTGGGCATGGAAGCACACACCTGTAATCACAGCACTCTGGGAGGCTGAGGCAGGAGGATGGCAAGTTTGAGTCTAGACTGGGCAACTCAGTGAGATTTTTTTTCTCAGAAGAAAAAGGGTGGTGGTGGGGTTGGAGCTATAAATCAGGGCAAAAGCCCTTGGTTCAATCCCCATTACTCATAGAACTAAAAGAGTGGCGGGGGTGGGGGAGAAAAGCCAAGCCAAGCCAGGGAGGAATCTGGCCCAGGCCTGTCTGTAAGTATTCGTCTAAGTATCTGTCATGACCTATTTTATACTGCAAGCCACTAGTGGAAAGGGCTATGGAGCCTTGAGGAAATCTGGGTGGGCTTCTAGGAGAAAAGTGAATGAGAGAGAGAGAGAGACAGAGAGAGAAAGAGAGAGTGTGTATGTGTGTGTGTGGCTGGCTTCAGGTGGGAACTGTATGGAACCCCAGGTGGAGGGTAGATTAGTAGGAAAAAGACTAGAGATGGAAGGTCTTTAAGGAAGCTGGTCCAGCAGCCCAGTGGACATGAATAGGTTGGTGCTAGGGAAAACAGGCAGCTGTTCCCAGACTTTAAAGGCAGAATCACTGGGGAGCTTGTCAAACATGCAGATTCCTGGGCCTACCCCAAAGGTTGGTTCAACAGGTCTATGGAGGCCCAGAAAGCAGGCAGATGTCTGCTATGTAGGAGAGCAAGTCAAAAGCTTGTTCCCAGGTATCCACCTCACTGGACAAGGTGGCAGTATTGGCCTTTGGTGCTGCCTGAACTGAGGAGGTGGCTGGTTGGTCTCCCCTAGCTGGGGTGGCTGGAAAGGGCTTCCAGAAGGAGGAGGTTCTGTATCCAGGCCTTGAAGGAAGAAGGATTTTGGTCAGGGAAGGTGGATGAGAGCCTTCCAGGTAGAGGACACAAGTCTTGTAATCAGATTTGTTTCCCAGGCTAGAGTGGAACTGGGTAGAAAGGCTGTGATGCCTCTGGATGGCCATGAATATCATACCAAGGCCAAAGGTGACAAAGTTCTAGAAGGTCTGGAGTATCTGTTGCCTGCACTATTTGGGGCAGTACTAAAGAAGTGTGTGCAAGGTTTGGGGTGGAGTGAAGGGAATGACTGTGAGTCTCTTATCATGAAGCCCACTGATGTCCAGAGCTCACATTTTATTTTGGATTGATTCCTATTGACAAGGAATGGGAGGCTGAATAAGGGTTGGGCAAGGGGCAGGGAAGGGAGGCCCATTGCATTTTATGATCTCAGTGGAAAAGGCTGCTGTGAGGAGATTCTGCTGCCAGTGAAGCCACAGAGATGGGCTCCATGAGTCACTGCTCAGTCCTGCAAGCTCAGCCCTCAGAGCCTGCTGTGGTCAGCCGCCACAGACTGGCTTCAGGCTCTGCCTCAGCTCCCCCTATGTTTCCCACTAGGCCTCAGTCTGCCCCTACCTCTGTCTGTGACTTTGCCATCCTGGGACTATGCATCCTGTAGTTCTCTGCCTCTTTTGTCTGCCTTTCAGGAATAGCCTCTGAATCTGTCTCTATGACTCTGGTTTCTATGAGACTTACAGATGGGGAGCCTCAGGAGGGTAGGAAGACTGTGAGGAGTTTCAGGCACCTCTAAACAACTGTTCTGTGCCAGGCACAGTGCAAAAGTACTGGACAACATACATCCAGTCTGCTTACAAAGCACATTCTATGTGGAATGGGGAAGCCAGGGGCCAGCTCTGCCTCTATCTCAGCACGTCTGTGCCTCCTCTGACTCTGCCTGCTGTGCCAGTGTTAACTTCTTTGCCTCTGGCACTGGGAGATTATGTGTGCCTGCCAGCAGATCCCCCCAGTTCTTAAGACTCCTGGGGGGCTGGTGGGTGGAAGTGGGCAACAGAGGGGGAGGGAGGGAGTGGGAGGCAGTGACTCAGTGGGGGTGGCTCTGGGACAGAGCAGGGAGGGTGCCAAGGTTGAATCCGATGCTCATTGAGGCCAGAGGAGGAAGGGAAAAGAAGTCTGGCTGGGGGCTGGGGCTGCAGCAGGACAAGGCCAGCTCAGCTCCTTGTTCCTTCTCTATTATTTGCATGGGAGTCTGCCTGGGAGTCTGTGCTCCGGGTGCCTGGATGCGTGGGGGATTATTGTTGTTTCTACTGTGCCTGCTGCCGATGTCCACATTAATGAAGGAGGCACCTGCCTTAGGGACAGGGAAGGCAATTACATCCACTGTCCTCCCCTCCCAGGGATCAAGGGCCTGGGCATTCTGCCAGGGCCAAGGCATGGTGTTGGGCTTGGTGCCTTTTTTTTTTTCAACATAGCCAACTTTATAATCTCCCCACAAATTCTAAGAGGTGTCAGGCCAAGCCCACATATCCTAAAGGGACCTCAAATCTCAGAGCTGGAAGTGATCTAACAGTTATCCAAGTGATTTTCATCAGTTCAGTATTCTCATACTGAGGATGAAAATGAGGGGGTAGGGAAGGGAATGAACCCAGCACCAGAGCTACTAGCAGTGAGCAGCCATTTGATATATGGGGTCTTCCCTAGTCCTCCTGGTATTCCTGAAGAAAATAATGGCTTTCTTGTTGTTTTACAGGTGAAGAAGGTAAGGCGCAAAGAGAAGTGGAGTCCCTGGAGTTCTTGCACCAGGTGAGTGGAGGAGCTAGGGTGGGCCTAGTCTCTGCCTCCAGAACTCCAACCTCAGCAACATCTTCCATAGCTGGACTTTTCTGGTAGGGGAGCAAGAGATTCCAGGGAATGCAAGGGAGTGAAGGGTCAGAGGCCTCACTGCTCCCTCAGCCTCAGCCTTCTGGCCCAGAAGCACCATATGTCCCGTCATGGGATCCCATATTGTCATGGGGTCACAGGACCGATCTCTAGATCACCAGGACAAAATTTGTTTTGCTATGCTGGGAATCAACCCCGGGGCCTTGCACATACTAGGCTAGAGCTCCATCACTCAGCCACACCCTAGTCTGTACAGGCTGTCTCTAGGTGTGTGAGCTTGGGACGTGGAGGGCGATGGGGGCTGCAGTGGAGGGCCCCTCACTCCCAGCCTCCGTGAAAATACTCTGTACTGGCTCCAGCAGCTGCTCTGGGTTTACAGAGTCTCTTTCTAGGGACTTCCCGGAACCCTAGGCCCATACTTGCCTTCTTTGGGGGCTGTGAGGAACAAGAGATCCTCCTGCTAGGGGAGCTGGGGAGAGGGTTCCGTCAAGTCCCCGCCGCCCGACCCGTGGGCCTGCGGCTCACTCACCCTAGCGGCACCACTTCCGGCGCCCGGCCCCCCGGAACGGACGTTCGACGCAGCTTCGACCCCACGCACTGAGCCGCTAGGGTGGGTGTGTGTGGGGCGCGGGGCGCTGGGAGTGGGAGGCTACCCGGCCGGTGGCTGCGCCTCTGTGCTGTTGGGCTGCCAGGCTGTCGGCCTTCTGGACCTGCGGGCAGCGCTGTGGCACCATCCTTCGGCCCCCAGGGACCCTCAGCGAGCTACACAGCGCAGAGTACCCGGCGACCCTGCCCCCTCTTCTGCCGCCAGGAGGTGGCGCTTACGGACGCCGCCAAGCGGCCGCGCTGCAGCAGCCGTCGAGGTTCAGTCACTTCCAGGGGTCCAGTCCGTGAGGCGTGAGTGCGAGCGGCAGGAGAGGGTGGGGTGAGCGTCCCAAAGTGAGCATGAGCGCGAGCGCGAGGCGGCCCCATTGGCAGGCCTACGAAGCCGGTTCCGAGGGTGGGACGCTCGGGCAAAGGCTCACGGGAGTGCGACGAGGAACCGGGCAGAAGGGAGACCCCTGACGTTCTCCCTTCTCCCTAGGGCTGAACTGTGCTAGCTTCAGCGCTTCCTGTGGCCTGGCACCCAGCCTGGTATTGCCCTCGGAGTCTTGCCCGACTGTCTTCAATCCATTTCCTGGATGAACTGGGGCCTCCCTTCACACTGAGGCCCAGCCCCTCCCCCACGTGCCCGGAGCAGGCCTACCCTTAGCAGGGAGTGATGGAAGGGCCCCAGGAGGGTGGGGACGAGCCCCCAGACTCACAGAGCCATGCCACCGACTGGAGGTTTGCTGTGTGCAGTTTCAGGGATGCCTGGGAGGAGGAACCAGCTTTTCAGGTGCAGTTTAAGGACTCCATTCCCCTAAAACTACAGGAGAGCCCCTTGCCCAGGGAGCTACAGTTACCTCCACAAATGAGGGCTGCAGATGGGTCAGGGGATGGCCAGAGGAGCACTTTAGGAGTCTCTTTAGTCCAGACGGAAAAGCCAACCCCCTCCAGAGTAAACAGCCTCCTGTGCCCCATGTCCTCCCACCTCAGCCCAGGGGGAGGCGAGGTAGGAGACTCAGGTCCAGGTGGGGCATTTCCAGCTGTCTTGGGGCCTGGGGGTTTGGACAACAACCTTGTGGGCATTGGAAATCCTTTATCAGAGACATCACCAAAGCTGCTGGAGGCAGGTAAGGGAGGCTGGTCTAGGGATACCTGGAGGTGGGTGTTGCAACATGGGGAGGTCTCTGACTTTACTCATTTGAAACCCTGGTCCATGAAGGGGTCTCTGGGTAATGCCCCTGCCATTTCCCTTCCCAAGACTCAAGTGGATCCAGTCTACCTAAGCCTGCTGACTGCCTCCTAGCCCAAGACCTTCCCTGGGAGCTGCTGGCCAGTGGCATGGCTTCTTTGCCAGGTAGTAGGGAGGACATAGGAGCTGTGGAAATGGGGTGGCCCAACTGGGCAAGTGTTCACTGCCTCCTCCCCACAGGGACTCGTGATGCAGAAGGCCGAGCAGTGCTGCTTCTGTGTGCCCACAACCCAGCCTGGCTTCACCCCAAGAGCAGCAGCCATGAACTCATCTGCTTGCTGCTTTACCTTCGAAGCATCACCAGGTTTGGAGGAGGTTGGGGGAGTAAGCCTGAGCCAGGAGATATCAGGACCTGGAAAACATACTGATCTCAAGCCTACCCCTTCAGGCACGAAATACAGGCCCTGGGACTGACCATACTAGTTGATGCCCGCATATGTTCCCCAAGATCTTCACTCTTGTTGGGGCTCAGCCAACTACAAGTGAGTATAAGATTGTAACTTCCTTCCATTCCTTTTGTAGAGTTGGGGCAGGGCTAAGCTCTGATTCCTTGCAGGAAGCAGCCCCAGGATCTGTGCACCACGTACTGCTGGTGGGAAAGATACCAGATGAGGTGCCTTCAGGTCTGCAGGTACTATGCCAAGTTGTCTAGAAGTGGAGGTGGATCCTTCTTTATCCAGGGCTGGGTCACAACATCTTCTTTTCTTGCAGCTTGAGCACCTGCCCTCTCATCAGAGCCTGCTGACTCACATCCCCACTGCAGGGTTGCCCACTTCACTAGGAGGATGCCTACCTTATTGCCACCAGGCCTGGCTGGAATTCCGGATGGTCAGTGTACCTGGCAGGGCCTGGGGGGGGGAGATTATACAGGCAATTTGGGCCTGCAGAGGAGCGTCTCCTGGGTTGGCTTGAGCAGGGCAGAGCTGGCTGCAGTGGCAGTGGAACCTAGGAGGCCTGCAACCAGCATCGCACTGGTTATACCTACCCCTGTTTCCAGCGTCTGGAAGCACTACTACAGAACTGCCAGGTGGTTTGCACTCTGCTTCAGGGGGCCATAGAGAGTGTGAAGGCTGTACCTCAGCCCATGGAGTCTGGGGTGAGTGTCCCCTCCCAACAACTCCATGAATGCTCCCTCTGTTTCTTGTGTCCACCACTCTCTTTTGCCTTCAATCATAGGAAGTTGGCCAGCTGCTACAACAGGTACAGGTCCTGATGCAGCAGGTGCTAGACTCACCACAGCTGGCATGGCTACAATGCAAAGGGGCCTTGGAGCTGGTGTGGCTAAAGCAGGAGGTCCCAGAGGTTACCCTGAGCCCAGACTACAGGTATGTACAAGCCCAATATCCAGATCTTGCCCCAGCTCAGCCCACCATATGCGTGCCAAGGACTCAACTGGCTGGCTCAGAACCAGCCAGGATTGTGGATCCTAGGATAGGGTAGAATGGACCAAGGTAAGACCGTACCCTGCATCAGGCCAGCAGTTGACAAGGCTGATGTGTTGTATGGCCGTGTGGATGGACTGCTGCACCAGCTAACTCTACAAAGCAACCAGCAAGTGCGAGCACTAGAACTGCTCCAGGCACTGGAGGCCCAAGAAAGAAGGCTGCACCAGGTGGGAACTACTTGTTCCGAGCAGGCCCTGCCCCTAGTCTTAAGTATAATCTACACTTGTGGCGGCTCTTTTCACCTTTTCCCTTTTGTGGCCATCAGATTGAAGTGTGGCTGCAGCAGGTGGGCTGGCCAGCACTGGAGGAGCCAGGGGAGCCCTCGCTGGAAATGCTACTCCAGGCCCAAGGCCCTTTTCAGGAGTTGGACCAGGTTGCTCAGGTAAGTTTAGCCACTTGTTCACTCTGCAGGTACTGGGGCATTTTGGCAGATACTATGATTGCAGGAGAGTTAAGGCAAATTACTACTTTGCTGTCTTGGAATTTACCATCAGGCAGAGGCAAGATCATTATAATCAAAGGTTTATAGTCATATATGTGTGTTTGCAAGCTAAGGCAAAAAGCAGTGTGAAGAACTGACCCAGAAGAGGTGTCAGACAATCTTCTTTCAGGTGACTTTCAAGCTAAGAGTTGAAGAATAAGTTAGGGTCTATCAGGCAGAAGATGACTTGGGAGAGAGCTACATTCTAAGCTGTGGAACAGGATGTTCAAAGGTCTCCTGGCAAGAGGAAGTATGATGTGTCTGAGAAGCCATAAGGCTGATGAGGTTGAAAAATGTGGAGAAGAGGAAAAGTAGGCAGAGATGAGGTGAGAGGAGGCTGGAAGACTGGTTAGTAGTCAGATCTTTGTATCCTGTAGCAGTGAAAGGTTGAAGCAAGGTGGTTGCATAATCAGATTTCTATTTAGGGAGATGATCTTAGTTTCTGGGTAATTACTTGGAGGATGAATGTGAAGAAGCAATTGCAGCAGTCCAGGAGAGAAATACATTTGCCCCAAGTGTCGGTAGGAGATTGTCCCAGGCCTGCCTTGGTTACTAAATCTGTAGATGCTGTTCTTTATATAAAATGGTGTAATATTTGCATATGATCTACGCAATTCTTTCATATACTTTAAATAATCTCTAGATTACTTATTATACTTGATACAGTATAGATGCTATGTAAGTAATTGTTAATATTGTGTACGGAATAATAACAAGAAAAAGTCATGTTTAAAATGCAAAGTTAGTTAAACCCTTGGACATGGAATGCATAGGCATGGAGAGTTGACTGTAGTGTTTTCTTTGGCCAAGATAGTGGCAGGGAGATGGATTTGAAAGTTTATAGGAAGTGATGGTGCATCCATGTGGGTGTGTAAAGGAGAGAGCAGTTGTAAAGACAAATGAGTGCTGTTCTCTGAGAGGGTTCAAGGGATAAGGACTTGATGGGCAGGATCAAGGCCAGTCTTAGGTGTGCTTTTGAGAAGTCTGGGAAGGAGGGAGAAGAGGGCCCATGGGTCTGGAACTCAGAGAAGGAACTTGGCTAGAGAGGACACTTGGTAGCTGTGAGTGTGTGGATGACATTTGGGTGGTTCTCACACAAGATTGCCTGAGGAAGAGGGTACACTGGTCTTCAGGTGAAGGAGGGGATTGGGAGGAGGAACCACTGAGAAGGACAAGAAGAATCAGAATGAGGAGGAATCAGCCCAGGAGAGAGAAGGCTGAATGCTGCTGAAAGGAAGGCCTGAAAGAGGGGGAGTAGAGACTGGGGTGGGTGGTGGGAAGGCCTTGCACTTGGGAGAGACTTGATGATATGTAGACATTAGTGGGAAAGATCTGGATTTGAGGCCAGACCGCCAGGCCTGGTCCAGCTGAGCCCAGTGTACCTCTGCAGGAGCAGATCAAGCAAGGAGAGAAATTTCTGCAGCCACTGGCCAGTTGGAAGGCAGCTGACCTGGGTGCCCCTGGGGCATGGTTTCTGACCCTGCGGGCTCAGCTGACAGAATTCTCCAGAGCTCTGGCCCAGCGGCGCCAGCGCCTGGCAGATGCTGAGAGGCTGTTTCAGTTTTTCAAGCAGGTGGGTGAGGTGACCTGTCCCTGGCTTTGTGGTTATAGGGCCAAAGCAGTGGCTTTTGCAACTCCATAGCAGCCTCAGACCTTCCTGCTTGTCCTGCCTCTTCTTTTCCCTTTAGTGTAACCCCTAAATCCAACCTCAGGGGAAATGTCCTGGCACCAGCCTCCTGGGGAGCCAGAGGGCTGATAGTTGTTGGGATTGCTGGGATTCCCCTCTCATGCCTGCCTGGTCTCCGTGTTGCAGGCTTCAACGTGGGCTGAGGCAGGGCAGCGGGTCCTGGCAGAGCTGGAGCAGGAGCACCCACGGGTTGTGCTGCAACAGCTGCAACTGCACTGGACCAGGCACCCTGACTTGCCTCCTGCTCACTTCCGAAAAATGTGGGCTCTAGCCACAGGACTGGGTTCAGAGGGCATCCGCCGGGAATGTCATCGGGCCTGGGCACAGTGCCAGGACACCTGGTTGGCCCTGGACCAGAAGCTAGAGGCTGCACTGAAGCCAGCACTGACAGGCAGCACAGCTACACTGTGTGTCAGCCGGGTCCCTGCTGCATCTGCTGCCCCTCCCCTGAGGAAGTCTTACAGCTTTGATCAGAATCTGGGGCAGAGTCTCAATGAGCCAGTCAACCACTACCACCATGCCAACATTGTCACTGCCTGCCATGGACCAGAGGCTGCGGGAGGTCCCCAGCCCAGGTTATTCCCAACTACTATGCCTCCACCAGGCACCTCTAACTGCAGAAGTCCCAACAGGTATAGGCAATGGGCAGGGCAGGGAAGACAGTGGAGGGCAGATGACTTGGGTCCTGACTCCACCTACCTGGTAGGCTACAGCTGGTGCTGGCAGAGATGGTGGCCACAGAGCGAGAGTATGTCCGGGCCCTTGACTACACCATGGAGAACTATTTTCCTGAGCTGGATCGCCCTGATGTGCCCCAGGGCCTCCGTGGCCAGCGTGCCCACCTATTTGGCAACCTGGAGAAGCTGCGGGACTTCCACTGCCATTTCTTCCTGCGTGAGCTGGAGGCTTGCACCCAACACCCACCTCGAGTGGCCTATGCCTTCCTGCGCCATGTAAGCTGCAGCAACTACATAGCTCCAGCTGATTCTGCCACACTCCCCAAAGAGTTGTTGGTCATATGCTTGGTACTAGGCCAGCCCTGTAATGGGTACAGCTATGATTGAGACCCACAAGGTCCCTGCATCTCAGGATGTTAATTCAGTAGAGGAGACACAGAATAGAGAAAAGTACTTCCAGATTACAGTTGGGGCAAGGGGGAAAATAAGTATGACGCGAGCCTTTGGTTATTGGTCAGGCGAGGTTCCCATTAGAGCAGTGAGGGATGGTCTCTGAGCAGCAGATGTTTGCGCTGACCCAGAGAGGAACCTGAATAAGAAAGCTTTAGCCCAGGAATAAGTCTGTGGCGGGAAAGAGACCTATTAATCAAGGTGAGCAAGGTTGAGAATGGTGAGCAGGAGTCCTAGGGAGGTGGGACCAAAGAGATGGTCTCAGAGCCATGGGAGGTGCAGAGCTAAATGCAGAGGCCCAGTCTGAGGGAGAGGGGACGTCTTCTCCAGGGGCCTGAAAAGCCCCTTCTGCACAATGCCTGTTCTTGCTAATCACACCTCATTCAAAGCAGGATCTGGGAAGAGTCCCTGAAAGCTGCCTTTTGGCATTTTGGTCCTCTCAAGCTGAGAGAATGGTTGGGAAGAGTGGAGGTAGCCTTTGGGCATTGGCTAACCTTGACTAAGCTTCGTGTCCTTTCAGAAGGTGCAGTTTGGCATGTATGCACTGTATAGCAAGAATAAACCTCGTTCTGATGCTTTGATGACCAGCTATGGTCATGCCTTCTTCAAGGTAGGAAAGCCTGAGACTGCAGGAGGAGTGTGTGTGTGTGTGTGTGTGTGTGTGTGTGTGTGTGTGTGGCGGGTGGCACACTCTGAAACCACTCAGTTGGTCTCCCCTGCACGTGACAGGACAAGCAGAAAGCACTGGGAGACCACCTGGACTTGGCTTCCTACCTGCTAAAGCCCATCCAGCGCATGAGCAAGTATGCACTGCTGCTACAGGAGTTGGCACGGGCCTGTGGGGGTCCAGTGCAAGAGCTGAATGCCTTGCAGGCTGCCCAGAGCCTTGTACACTTCCAGCTGCGACATGGCAATGATCTGCTTGCCATGGATGCCATCCAGGGCTGTGATGTGAGTCATTCCAGGTTATGGTGGGCAGGTGCTTTGGTGTGGAAGAAAAGAGCAGGAGGGCTGAGTACCTACAGGGTCCCGACTTTGCAGGTTAACCTCAAGGAGCAGGGGCAGCTGGTACGACAGGATGAGTTCATGGTGCGTGCTGGGCGCCACAAATCCCTGCGTCGTGTTTTCCTCTTTGAGGAGCTGTTGCTCTTTAGCAAGCCTCGCCGTGGGTCCGCAGGTGTTGACACATTTACCTACAAGCGCTCCTTCAAGGTAGGCACCTGACCCTGTCCCCTACCCACTGGCTCTTGCCTTCGCCTCACCAGGCCCCTGTCTTCTGGCCACACAGATGGCAGACCTTGGCCTCACTGAGTGCTGTGGGGATAGCAAACTGCGCTTTGAGATCTGGTTCCGCCGGCGCAAGGCCAGGGACACCTTTGTGCTACAGGCCTCCAGCTTGGACATCAAGCAGGCTTGGACAACTGACATCTCTGGCCTGCTCTGGAGGCAGGCTGTTCACAACAAGGGTGGGTTTCTGCCCCCTACATCACCATATGCCCCGCTCTTTATATAATATGTGTCTCCTAGGAGCCCAAGGAGAATCTAGGGACCTGGAAAAGCTTAGTAGGGGGGAAGAGGCCCAGCTGTAGCAGTCAGTTCATGGGAATGAACTTCAAAGCCATGGAATCTTGCTGTCACTCTGTGTGACTTTGGGTATAGTATTAACTTCTGAGTGTCGGGGGACTCATCTTTAAAAGGGAACTTATGATACCTGCCCTATGGAATTGTTGGGAAGAAAGAATCTAGCATCAGGAAGGCTCAGTGCATAGGATGGTTAATTGATAGGATATGGATATACAGGAAAGACTTATCAGGTATCACCCAGAGGGGCCTCACTTATGCTTACTCTCTACTCAGAGGTGCGCATGGCTGAGATGGTGTCCATGGGTGTGGGGAACAAGGCCTTCCGAGACATTGACCCCAGCGAGGAAGCTATCAATGACCGCAGCATCAACTGTGTCCTAAAGAGCCGAGGTAGCAGCCAGGCTACTGGGGGTGGGCTAAGGAAAGCTGTGTGGGAGATACTGGGGGCCTCTGTTAGCCCTGGCCTCTGTTCCTCTGGAACCTTAGGCCAAACTGGGTTCTGGCCTGTCCCAACCTGACCCTCTCTCTTATGCAGAAATTCGCTCTCGGGCCTCCATTGCTGTGGCCCCACTTGACTATGAGAGCCCCTATTTGGGGGCCTCAAACCCTGTTCCTGGAGACCCTGCCTCTTGCTCTGTTCTGGGGTCCCTCAACCTGCATCTATACAGAGACCCTGCTCTTCTGGGTTTCCGCTGGCCCCTGTACCCCTCCAACTACCCAGAAGAAGCAACACTGGAGGCCGAGGTGGAGCTGGGAAGCCAGCCCTCTTTGAGTAAGTCTGGGCTTAGTAAGAAGCAGGAGACACCCCTGGGTCTGGGCCTCTCCTTCTGACAACTCACCCAGTGTTCCTCCCTAGCTCCTGATGATTCAGAAGTCTCATCCCAGTGCCCATCAGCCAGTGGCTCCAGTGGTTCTGACGGCAGTTGTGTGTCAGGGCAGGTCCTGGAGAGAGGCCTTGAGGACTTGTCCTATGTGAGTACTATTTTGCAGGCCTTTTTTTTTTTTTTTTTTTTTTTTTTTTTT